TGGTCACCATGTCTCCTGGTCCATTTTGGCCAGCCCATTTTCCCTCCCTTGTGAGGCTCTAGCATTCTACAATATCTGAACTGGACATTTAGAGACCAGACATACAGATGGAGAACTGAAACCCAGAGTCTGGAAGGAATGTTCTAGTTTCACACAAGTGGAAGTTGGACTAGAATAGATGTTGGATGAGTCAGTTAAAAATTTTCCAAAGGTTTTCCATCATTTTTAGGGCAAAATCTTCACTCCTTCCTGAGAGCTCTGAGACTGTAGAGCATCAGCACCTGGTCCCTTCCTGCCATCCTGACCTCAACCTAGGCCACTCTCCCTTCAGCCACCAAACTAGTCACTCCAGCCTTCCTTTAGCTTTTCAGACATGCCATGTCCTACTGCAGGTCTTGTGCATATGTTGTTCCTTTTTTCCAGAAACCTCGTTTCCTTGACTTTTGGCAGGCCTATCTCCTTCTTACCCTTCCGGTCTCAGCTTAATGGTCACCTCCTCAGAGATGTCCTCCATGATTTCTCAAGGAAGACTCCCCCTATACCCACCAATAACCTTAACCATGTTTCCTTTAGAGCACTAACCCCGACTGCAATGTATTCGCTTCTTGGTGTGTTTGTGTGCGGTATGTTCCCCTACCCAGCCACCAAGGTAAACACCTATGAGGTCTAGAGCCATGTCTATTTGGCCTGTCATTACATTCCAGACACCCAGCTCTGTGTATGGCATTTAACAGGTGCTCAATACATTTTGTTGAATGAATGAACAGGGCAAGTGTGAAATCTTGGCTTTGACATAGATTTCTGAGGTCCCGACCCTGGAGATGGGACCTATGACTGTCCAGGCAAGCAGCTCATGCCAATGGTTGCTCTTCTCTCCCTGTTGGGACAGTGAGGTGCCAACCTCACCTGGGAAATAGCATGCCTAAGGCTGGGACTAAGCCCTGGCCTTATTCTAAGGAGGTGCCAGTGAAAATGGGGAAGACAAGGGAGAGGCTGTTGGCCTTCATTCCACAATCAAAATATTAAACAGTCCCAAGTGATTATTGTCACCTGATGGAGGCCAGGGTAGGAAGGGACTACAAGGGGTTCTATTTGTTTGCCTTCCCCCTTGGCATCTCTAAATACCAGCGTTTTCATTAAGAGGGTCCTAAGTCAGCCTTCTGTCAAATAAACAGGGCTTCACGGGTTAACGACCCGTGAGGGTGGCTGAGGCCCCACACAACCAGGGAGATGTTCACTCAGATGATGAGACGGCTGCAGCAGGGTGTAGATCTTGGTCCAACCCCTTCAGCTTTCCGATGGAGAAACTGAGGTCCATGGAGGGATGAGCCACTCCTTTCCCCTCCACATTCCAGACCGTCCCCCTTGGCCCATTGCCACAGCCTCCACACTGGCCTCACAACTCCAGCCTCTCTGACGCCCCAGCTGCCTTCTAAACCATCAACAGATTTACCTCTTCCAGACACATCCCCCGCTCAAGAGCATTGCATAGCTGCCCACTGCCACGGAATCGCCATTGCATTTTATGCCATTTCGTTGCCGTAAAATCCAGCCCCATTTTTGTGGCATTTGAAGCCCTTTTGAGAACTGGCCCCCAACCCACTATTGAAGCTGCTCTCCCACTGGTTTGCCCAGAGAAGAGATGCTTATTTGCAACAGTTAAGATCTGGACCTTCACTGTGAATGAATTTCTGTTAGAAGCTGTGTGAGCATCAGGAAAGCTAATTTGGATCATTTCTCCGAGCTTCCTATTCTTCCACTGTAACATAAGGATAACAATAGGATTGCACCTTGAAGCAATGGTACCTAGACCCCCGAGCCTCGCAGAGTAGGTGCTCAGTGACTATCGGTACCTCTGACCATCTCTTCTCGTCCTTAGCAGGTGCATTCAAGCACACACTCTGCCTCCCCTGTCTGGGTCTCTCAACTGGAACTACCCTCTCTTTCCTCTTCTACATTTTCAACCTGTTCAAATGCTGCTCCTTCTCCCAGGTCACCTCCTCTAGTAAGCCCTCCTTGGTTCCCCCCTCCTGGCACTCCATCAGGCCCTTGTATTAACAACATTTACCACTGGCTGTATTTATATCTATCAGTTCTGTCCTTCTCACCATCCCTTGCTCATAGTAGGAGCTCATGCTAAACCTGATAACTGTGGTTTTGGCTGAGTCCTTACCGTGTGCCAGGCACTGCGCCAAGAACTTTGCCTGAGTGGTTCCACCTAAGCCTCATAACAACCCTCAGAGGTGTGAGGTTCTATTATTAGCCTCATTTTACAGATAAAGTTAATGAGGCTCAGAGAGGGTAAGGTGGCTTGCCAAGCTCACACAGCTGAGACACAGGGTTCCAGCCCGGACACTACGGCCTAAGGAGCGCCTATCGAATAAAGCAACACCCTGGACACAGGAGCCCCAGCCCCCTGCATGTGCGTCCGGCCGGGCCCAGGTGGGGAAAAAGGAGGCCGGTCAGGGAGGAGCTATAGGAGGCTGGAGGGGGAGGGTGGGCACAGCAGGGGCCGAGCTGTTTAAAAACTGGTTCTCGAGGCAGGAGCTCCATGTGACACCTCATCTCTCAGATGTAGCTGGGAAGGGGGATGACCCAGTTAGGAGGTGGCAGAAGGCTGTTTTTGGTCGAGTGTTTTCTCGCCCCCGTTTTGGCAGATACTGCTGCTGAGAGCCGAGGGAGTCTTTCTGAAGGTCCAAAACGGCTTTGTTAGCCGTCTGTCTGGCTTGTCAGGAGGAAGTTATCTTAATGGGCTGACCCCTCAGATGTCTGTCTGGGAGCTCCTGGGACTTGGAAACAATTGCATCTGGCGTCAGGTCCATCATTGTGTTAACAAGCTAAGCCCGCTTTCCACACTCACCCCTTCAGTTTGTAAAGGGGCGGCTAGATCCCTCCGGGTGACAGGGAGGGAGCAGGTGTTCCTGAAAGTCCAGGCTGATGCTCCAGGCTCAACACCCTCCGTGACTTCCCATTGCTCTTGAAATCAAATCCAAACCCCCTATCCCAGGGCTCAGCTCTGCTAGCCTCTCCAGACTCATTATGTGCCTCATTCATTCATTCATTCATTCATTCAGGCAGGCTGGCCTTTGGGCAATAATCTTCTCCAAGTGTCTCTTCTGTGCCAAACATTCTTCTAGGTGCTGGGGGTTCCATCCAGAACAAGGCGACAGGGTTTCCTCAGGGAGCTGGCAATGTCTGCCCCTGACTCTGGTTACTTCTGCGATGGGGCCTTTGTAGATGCTCTTCTCCCTTCCCAGAATATTCGTCCCCATCGGTGACATGGAAACCTCCTTCTCAACCTTTAAGTCTTGGCTTAAATGCTGCCTCCTCCAAGAGACCTCGCCCAAACTAAACGAAGTGTGCCTCCCACCTCCCAGCACTGAACCCAGCTCTCAGCTCTGTGCTCACTTTCCTTCATACTAATCATAGTTTGTAATTATTTCATTTGTTTGTTTTTAATCAGTGCCGCCCCCCGGTGAGAGAGGGGAATGAATTATTTAACAAATGAATACCAAGCATCTACCATAGTAATAAAGGAACTAGCATCTATTGACTGCTCAGCTTTTTTTCAAATGCAGGTATTTCTGACCCCAGAACCGGCCTTTGTGCATTAGATCAGTGGCTTTGAGGATGGCTGTGGGAGCAGTGCAGGTGGACAGAGAGGAGGTTGAGCTGACCGGCTGATGGATTGGATGTGGGGAGTGGGGAAGTACCAGCAAGGCCTTTGGCCTGAGTGGCTGAAGAATGGGGCTGTTTCCTTAGGTCAGGGAAGACCAGGACAGCAGGTTTGTGTTATGTACTCAACGAGATCCAGCAAGTACTTGCAGTGTACGGACTGGGCGAACAAGGTGGCATGGTGCCTGCCCTCACGGAGCATAGGAGGGGCCGGGCACGGGGGAAGGGGGTTGCCATGGTCACACAGTGAGCTAGAAAAGGGCAGGGTTGTCCAATAGAACTTCCTGTGCGATGAGCATGCTGTCTCTCTGTGCTGTCCAGAATGCTAGCCACTCGCTGCGTGTGTCTTTCCAGCACTTGAAATATGGCTGATGTGACTAAAGACCTGGCTTTCAATTCTGTTTTACTTTAAGTATGAAGTAGCCACGTGTGGCTGGTAGCGTCCCAGGGGACAGTGCAGGAAAGCCCCTCTCAAGAGTTCTGAGGGCGCTAATCCACTCCAGATGGGCCCCTTTCTCTCCATCGCGGAATCTCTCCGGCCTCTTCCCTCTCGAAGTGCTCTTCATCGTTATCTTCCTCGTCACAGCTAGCTTTCAGTAACTGCCTGTTAAATAGATCGTCACATCTAATCTCCGCAACTACGGTGTATAAGGAGGAATTCATGTCCCCGCTTCACAGATGAGTAAACTGGGGTTCAAAGAGGTTCAGTGACTTGCCTGGGTTCACACAGCCAGCCCGTGGCCGGGCGGGTGAGAGCCACCGGGTCTGACTCTGAAGGCTCTGTCCACTTCGCTGCCTCCCAGAGCCAAGCCAGGCTGTGGACCCGCAGGGAGAAGATAGAGCAGGGGATGGCACACAGATGGCCTGGGGGGAGGAGGGTGACCGTGGGGAGAAGAACCTTGCCCGAGGCTGCAAGGATCCTGGTGTGGCTGGCCAGGCCATTTCTCCCCACCCCATGCCAGCCTCACCCCAGCTC